ACCCTCCATCTAATGTACAAAGCCTATTTGCTCCTACTTTCCCAACCTGGCTAAAGAAATGGGGAAGATTGCTTTGGAGATGCACAAGGGCAATAGTGTGTTGGACAATTTGGGAAGAGAGAAATCAATGAATATTTCTTGGAAACGAATGAAGTACAGAAGCTACTATTAAAGTTACCATCAAGATGATCCATTGGGTGAAATCTTCAGTGCTCTTCAAGGATGTTCCGGGGGGTGAGGTGTTGAGGAATTGGGGCAAGGTAGCTAGTTCTTGACCCTTTAGGGATGTGGTTAGGTCAGTTTGGTCTCCACCACCTAGAGATGTTGTTAAGCTCAATTTTGGTGGTAGTAGTGAAGGCAACCCGAGCCCATCTAGCATTGGAGGAGTGTTTAGGAACGAGGAAGGAAATGTTATTTCATTCTACTCAAGGCCCTATTGGAGTAGGGGACTCTTCGAGGGCTGGAATTATGCGGTTATGGAAGGGATTTAAAAGGCTAAGGAGCTGAACATCAGGAAGTTACTAATTGAGGGAGATTCAAAGCTTGTAATAAGCTGTCTCCTAAAAGAAGAGGAGGCTGGATTGTTGTTCTATATGAGAAGAGGAAAACTATTAATCGGTTACAAGGGATAGATGTGACTTGTAATTGGGTCAAGAGAGATGCAAATGCCTTTGCTGATACACTTGCTAAACAAGGAGTGGGAAGGAACAGTTTATTATGGGCTGTGATGTAATTCATTCGTCGAGGGGCTAAGAGAGTTTATCTGTTTGCCTTTCGTTCTCTTCTATTGTACTTATTCTCTTTTCAATTAATAATATTGCCTCTGTTATTGATCAAAACAAAGGAAGGGGGAGGGAAGGAGACCCTATAATTGAGGGAGAGGAGGCAAAAATTTATAAGGAAAGGAGCAGGGATGTAGGGGAAAGGGAAAGTGCAGGGGAAAAAGGGTTTGGAAGAGATCAGGTGTACCGGAGGAGAAAATATAGAACAAGGCCATTGGAAGATAAGGATAAAGAGGGAGTGGGAAAGGATCAGGAGGAGGTGGAAATTGATGAGATACATATTGTGAAGTAGACAACTAATTTTGAGAACGCAATTGATATAGAGGTGAGGTTGAGCAAAATTTTGGGTCTGTTTTTCCTGGGGTGAGAGGAATTTGCAAGGAAAGCTTTCAGAGAGGTGGAAGAAGGGGCAAAAAAGATGAGGAAAAGAGAACTGGGGAGCAGGCTGTTATTTTGGGAAGCAATGAAGATATGGGTCCACCTCTTACTGGAGGGGAGGAATTTGTATGGAAGACGTTTAGGGAGATAGACTTGTAGGAACTTGTAGAGTGGGGATGGAGTTAATGTAAAGTTGGGTTAGGGGGGATGCATAATTGAGTTGTTGAAAAATAAGGAAGGTTCAAAGATTCTTGAAGCTGAAGTTTATGTCAGTGAAGATGTTTGTGAGCAGGAGTCAGTTCAAACTTTTGAGAAAAATGCGGTGTTCAAATTAGAAAGGATTAATGACTGTTCTATGGGGTTAGGATTAAGTGATTAGATGCCAATTGCGTTAAGAAGATTTAGTAGTAAGAAGCAACTTTGAACTGTTCAAGTTTCCAGAGTTTTTAATAGACTGAAGATGGATTTAATGGGGGGGGGGAGGTGGTCCTATAAAGAAATTAAGAACACTAGGAAGCAAAAAATGCATTGTCATGACTAAGGAGGGGCTACAAGTGATGTTTTGAAGGGGTTTTGGTTTAGAGTTGGGTGTTTTTTATTGATAGGTCGTGGTCAGGTTTGGTTGCGATCTTTGGCTCATGTCTGGGATTTTTTGGTGGTTTGTTTATTGGTTGGGTTTTATGTTATTTTGTCTTTTTTGTTGGGTCTTCGGCGGCAAATGGGTTTGGCGATGGGGGTTGTTTTTGTTTTGGTTCTGGTTTGTTAGGTCCATGTTGGGGGTTTTGGTTGAGGTTTTGATGTCTTGTTGGTGGTGGGTGACGCCTTATCTCCTTTTGATGTAATCCTTCTTTTTTAATAATTTTATTTTTTATTTATCTTAAAAAAGAATAATTATAGGGGTTATTAATGAGAGAGAGATATATAATCTAGTATTATAATTTGAATGTATTGGCCGATACATTTAAGATATCGTCCCGTATCGGTCCTGTTTGGTCTAAACCCAAAGAGACCCCCTTTTAGTCTAGTGAAAACCTTTGAAACCAAAACATCTCAATGCTTTCTTCGTCTTTTAGTCTTCTGGTTGCTAAAACATGCTTCCTGAACTTCAATGAACAAGAAGGGTTCTCATGGATCCTTTCTAGTTCTAGAACTGTGTTTTTCTCAAAGAACTGGACATCAACCATCACTGCATCTTTTTCAATATCATCTTCTTTCGATCTAGCTGTACTCCAGTTATTGTGGCCCTCATCAGACAATAGTGGATACTCTTGAAGATCTCTAACATTCTTCCTTACACCTCTTATAGCTTTCCTCCAACTCTTGAACATCTTTCTTGTAAAGGATTGACCTCCTAACACTAATAGACCCAAGGCTTTACTTACATCCATTGCTGGATTAGCCACTTTGTTCAAGTCAATGGCCCTATCATAATGGTGAGTTTCATCAATATAAGCTTCCTCCACACTTGACTGAATTAAACTCCCAGCTTCGTTAGAAGAGCCATCATCATCCTGAATTTTTTCTTCCTCTGTCAAAGGCCTTCTTCGATAAGCTCTCTTCCTAATATAAACCTTGGAGCAGGAATCAACCGGCATTTTCCCTTTATTTCCTCTCCTTTCTTTATCTCCAGTCTCTACCTCTTTCTACAGATTTTGGAACCCCTCATTTGACTTTTTCCTCTGTCCTTTCAATGCTCGAAGAGTTTTTTAGAACTGCCTAAAAAAACTGAGACTTGTAACCTGTGTGTGACTAGCCTTTTGTACATCATGTCATGTACTCTCTTTTTTTCTCTTCATTAATATATAAAGTTACTATTTTCCTCAAAAAAAAAAAACTGAGACTTGTTCAGCTGTTCTCCTCTAACTCTCTAAGTCCATCACTTTATCCAACTCGAGATCCTTTTCTCCCCCCATTTGAAAAACTATTCTGTTGTTCAAACTTCTTTCCAGCTTCCACTTCAAAAAAATTCAAGGAATTGAAGAAACCTATCTCTGGAGATACAATATTATCCCTCAAAGCACCACGATTTGAAGTGATGTTCTTAATCAGATCCCTTGCTGCTTTGAACTCAAGACTAGTTCCTCCATCGACCACAACAACTTGAAAAGGGTTTTGACCAACTTTTGATCCTCAGCTCTTCTCTTGCAAATATCCTCCTTTCTCCTTTGCTACTGGACAATTCCTGTCTTCTTTGCATTCTTTCACAACTTCAGGACTTCATTTGAATAGGAATATTTCACGAAACACTTGTATTTTCTTCTGCCGAACACATTTGTCTTTTTCTCATGCAAAACTCTTGACCTCTTTGAAACCTTTTGAACTCCAGAGTTTTAAACTAATTCAATGATTTGGCAGCAGGACCGAACTGTGGTTGTGGGCCGATTGTACTGGGCTCAAACCAATTCAGCCTAACATCTAAAACTTTTTTTCCTTTTTTATAATTGGTCCTCCATTGTCCCCGACCCTTCACCTTCCTCTTACGTCTTCCTTTGCAACTTTTTGTCTTCAACAGTCGATCAAAACAAAGAATCCTCATCTTCTTTTAGTGCCTCCCTATTTGCTTTTGATCTTTAATCTGAAACAAAGAATCATCTCCAACAACCATTCTCAGTTTGAAAACCTTATCCTTGTAAAACAAATCCAGCAACGTTGGGATCACATTAAACTCCTCAGCCTCAACTAGAATTCTCGTAAATTGGATATTCTCCCATCTTGTATTTCTGAAGTCAAATCTCTTAACCCAAATGTCGGGATCGCATTAACCTCCTATTTCTTTTGGTTACAATATGACTTTGAGTTGACAACTATCTCTTCGGAACCCAAACTAGAATTTCCATTGTTTGTCACAGGCATCGAATATCTTTCTTCCAAAATTTTGAACATTTTCCTGGCAAAATCCTCCCCTCCAAAATATGTAACCCAGAGCCTTACTTCCACTTCAACCTCCCGCCGCACTTTCCAAATAAACTGTTCCCTACATGAGTCTTATCCATAATCACTTCCTCATCATCTGAAATATCCTTCTCAACATTATCATCTTCAGGATCAACAATATCTTGTAAATGCTTAGTTCTATATTTGTTTTGACTATAGGCTTTAATGCTCAAATTCTTTTCGATGTCTCCACCCCCTTGATCCAACCCCCCTTCAACACCAGCACTTCCACTGATCCCACATGCCCTTGCCTCACTGCAGCCATATTTGAACAAGCTGAAGCTTCAAACTCCCTTGTTCTCTCAGCACCCTTCATTTCAATCCCCCTCCAGCCTCTTTTTTCTTTTCTTTTTTTTTTTTTTTCAATATACAACCAATGAAGCTATCGTCAACCCCAAAGAAACACCATCTTTCACAGACTTAGAAGAAGCATTCTCCCTATTGGAATTACCATGATTGTTCCTCTCCAGCATCTCATCATTTGATTCCCCTTCTTTATCAATCCTTCTGTCTTCTTCCTTAAGATTATTGAAACTCAGTTCTAACAGATCACACTCTTCTGAAAACTTTGCCACAATACATGCAATCCTGTAAGAGAATAACATGATCAGCCTCAACAGAGTCACCACAATTGCTAACCATCTCAAACACACACACACACACACACATACACAAATACGTATACATGATGTAGTTGCGCTCTTATGCTTTTGTAGACACACTGATTTGAAGCTATGCATTTAATCAGAGCTATTTTTCCAATTAAAAGGGTGAGTGTTGTTGAATCTTGGACAATTTGATAAAGCCTCCATGTTTTCAGGGAAACTTTAGCGTATATCTAATTCCATTTATAGCAAAATCTACCTTATATTAGTACTAATAAGTTTCACAATCATGTATCCTCAGATCAGAATAACAAAAGGATAGTTTTGGCTCTTCAAAGTGGATTGAAGAATGAGTTGACATGGGCACTAAACACTCTTACATTGCTATCTTTCAAAGAAAAGGATGACATGCGCAGGGATGCAACCCCTCTTGCTAAAATACCTGGGTTGCTGGATGCTCTTCTTCAAGTTGTAGGTGTTGCTAATTTCTTTATTTTATATGCTTTGGTTTAACTGTGTTTCTCTGCGTGTGTGTGTATTTGTTATCATACTGTGTTTTACATATTCTAATTAGACTAGTATTTGTCTTCATTGAATTTTATATCGTGAGGCTTATTTTAGAGGAAAGCAGCTAGCACACATTCCCCAAATTCAATTTTTGCTATTGGCTATTTTTGAACTACATTTCTCCTGAAAAAAATCCCTTTGTAATAAGAACTTTGTTAATGGAACAGATAGATGACTGGCGGGATATAGCTCTTCCAAAAGAACTTGCAAAGGCACCTAGGTTCAGATTGTTGGGTGCAAATTCTGTAGTTTCAGGATTTGGGAACGAGTATGAGGCATTATGCTCAAATGATGGTGCTCTCAATTCTGGGTAACCCCAACTTAATGTCTCACTGTATGGTCAAGCCGTAATTACCAGTAATATAAAGTGCAGATTTGGAGCTCTGAAAATATTTTGGCATTTCTTTTGACAGCACTGGATCTAGTTCATCCAATACAGAGGTATCAAACCAGAAGAGCATGGCCAAGAACGGTCCATTGGAATGGTTTGATGAAGATGGCCTGTTTAATCTGGATGACGAGGGGCGTGCAGAAAAGCAACAGTGTGCTGTTGCTGCTTCAAATATAATCCGGAATTTCTCTTTCATGCCTGATAATGAGGTGATTATGGCCCAACATCGACATTGCTTGGAAACAGTATTTCAATGCATAGAAGATCACATCACAGGTCAGTGACATGAGTTTGTAGGAATACAATTTTTTTTTTGTCATCGTCTTAGTTATCCAATTTATTATATACATTTCTTTTTGAGCAAATGGTTTCCATTGTATATATATACATGTCAAAGGGGGAATGCTCTCTGGTTGTAATTGTGGTTACTGTTAGTATACAAGACAAACAACTCAAAAGTCAAAACCACAAGGCAAACACTTATTGAAATGATTGCTCTAACAAATTCTCAGTTCCAAATTAGATCATTTATTGCTAGTGGTTTCCATAGAAAAGTTAAAATTTTTTCCTCTCACAAGACATCTTCAATTTTGATTCTAGGGATTGGGTGATATGGTGAGCTCGTAACTAGATTGTTTTGGAGTTATAGTTATGCTTTTTGCATCTATGATTCATATTTTGATATATGATATGAACAGCAATGACTTAAGTTGACAATTATTTTAAAGGTGGTATACTTGATTATCTATGAAATTTTTGGTATAATTAATTATTTTTATATTTTTTAATGAATTTTCCTTGAATCTTACAATTTATGATTTTAACCCAAATTCAATTTTGATCCTAGGATTTTTGGATTTGATTCTGCTTTGACAATGTTACATTTATAAGTGTTCTTGCCTAATACTGCTAAAGAAATACATAGGTAGTGTATAGCCCTGTTGAAGTGCTTTCTTCATATAAAGATATGAACCAAAATATAAAGATATGATGTCATGCTGGTCATGCATCCCTTTCTCTTTTATGTAGAACATTCTTATTATCCAAGATGGCTTTCTATCAGGATTGTTGGAAAGTGTTGAAAGATAAGTTATGCGAAGTCTTTAAGGAATACTCAAATAGACATATCATTAGCCCTGGAGTTAATACAACCTTTCTATCTTTAATTCCAAAAAAGAGCTGATGTTGATCAACCTAAAGATTTCTAACCCATAAGTTTGGTGACCGGTATTTACAAAATAATTGCTAAGGTCCTTTCATTGAGGATTAAAGCAGTACTTCCCTTAATCATCAGTCAGTTACAAGGGGCTTTCATTCAAGGGAGACAGATAATTGATTAAATTTTAATAGCTAGTAAATGTGTAGAGGAAATGAAGAGATCTAGAAAGGAAGGCTTTGTTTGCAAATTGGACTTGGAGAAGGTGTATGACTTGGTGGATTGGACTTTCCTGTTAAAGGTGATCCAATTTCGTGGTTTTTGGGAGAGATGGTACAATAAGATGTATGGTTGTATTTGATCTTGCTCTATCAATTTACTATCTCTCTGTTAGGATTCCACCAAGGGAAGCAAAGGAATTAGAAGAAGTGATGAGAGATTTCCTTTGGGAGACAGGAGAGGCCAGAAAAGACCATTTAATTAAATGGGAGATTGTGTGTAGGAGCAATGAAGAAGGTGGGTTGGGTATTGGGGATGTGAGTAAGAAGAATATAGCTCTCTTAGGAAAATGGTTATGGAGATGGCCACTAGAAAGGGATAATTTATGGCATGAGGTGGTGGATGGTATCCATAGAAGGTTGGAGAATGGTTGGGATGCTGGTTATCACAAGAAGCTACTTTGGCAGCACCTTGGAAAGCAATTCATGGTATTCTTCCTCTTTTTCTTAGGTATACCAGGTATGATGTATGTTAGGGAATTTAATATGGTTTTGGGAAGATGTTTGGATTGGTGATTTCCCTTTGAAGGATTTGTTCCCTTCCTTGTATTCCATTTCTTTGTACAAAAAAGAGGTGATCTCAAAATTTCTAGTCCCTCCTTTATTGTCTTTGGGTCGTAATTGGGATTTTGGGTTTTGTTGGGGGTTGAGGGACGAGGAGTCCACTTCTGTGACAAAGCTTTTACATCTTTGAGAGTTTGTTTGGAGCCTTCTAAACTAGATAGAAGAGTTTAGTTTCCAAGTTGTAATGGTTATTTTTCTTGTGCCTATTTTTTTCAATGCCCTTTGTCAGTCCTCTAACCTTCATCCTGTCCCTTTTAAGGAAGTTTGGTGCCGACCTATTCCCCTTAAAATTTGTTCTTTGTGTTGGGGAAGTGTTCTATGGGAAGGTAAACACTTTGGATCACTTACAAAAGAAGAGACCTTTTATTTCTATTTCCTTGAACTGGTGCACTCTTTGTAAACCGAATGATGAATCTTATTACTAACTAATATTCAATTCCTTTGCTGCAGATATTTAGGATTGGTTTTTCTCTTTGTTTGATGTGCAGGTGGAACTTTTAAATGGAGATTAAGATGCTGTTTGATCCATCTACCTTTATTTGGTTGAAGAGAAGGGAAGAATAATGTGAAGGTGCACTAGAGTAGCGGTGATTTGGACATTATGGGAAGGAGAGAAGCATGCAACAAATTAAGGTTTGTTTAATGATTAAGGTTGTCCATTGGCTATTACCTTTGGATTTATTGCACCAATTCTCCTTTGGTGATATTTGGAGAAATTGGTATTTAGTGGCTTCTAGTTCAGTGTGAAAGGACAGAATATACTTGACATGGGTACCTCCTCTTAAAGGTATTTCGAACTTAAATTATGATGGAAGTAGCCAAGGTAACCTAGGCCCTTCTGGAATTGGAGGGGTCACAATAGAGAAGACAGGAAATGTAGTGACACTCTACTCAGGACCAGTGGGAATTAGGAACTCTGTAAGGGCTGAACTGTATGCTGTTTTACAAGATGTTCAGATTACAAAAGAGTTGAATCTGGAGAATTTGGTGGTTGAAGGGGACTCAAAGGTGGTAGTGGGCTGGCTGAAGGAACCAGATTCAGTAATATGGTGTTATAAGGATGTAATGAAGAAGATCAAATGGTTAACAAGAAATATGAATCTCATTTATCAAAAAAAAAAAAAAAGAAAACAAGAAATATGAATCTGTTCATACAATGGGCAGGGAGAGAGGCCAATGCATTGGCTGATTCTTTAGTTAAGCAGGGGATACATAGGGATCAGTTGTAATTGTTTGCTGTAATTTCTTTTAGGGGGTACATATGAATCTGTTCATACAAGGCTGTACCTCACACCTTTCCCTGGGGTGCTTGTAACGTTGATTAGCTATATTGATTTCAGTGATTTTTTTTTTTTTTACTTATAAAAAACATTCTTATCTAAGATGCCAAAGGAAATTTCTTCTTAAAATGTCCCATTTGAGGTAGATCTTGCATCCCCCTCCAAGAGAATATATGGAGAAATTAAAAGAAAAAGGAGAATTCCCAAAGGTACAAACAATCTAATATGGGCTCAGAGATGAGAATCCTTAAAGATGATGCTTCACATCTTGCTTTTTACTAATGTGCAATCCCAGCCTAATTGTGTTCACCATAGTCTCGTATCAAAATTATGTTCTGAAGAAAACTATACAATTCCCTCTATCAATATCACCATGCAAGAGTGTTAACATCACTGTGATGTTTCTCCTGTGAAGAATCTCTTGTGACTGTAGTTTGGAAACCGGATTTCCTGCACTCTCTTTGGTGTGGGATGCAGTACACTTCCAATGAAATTCAACCACATCACACCACACATGCCTCCCCTTCTCACATGTGTGGATTAAGTTTAACATATGGTGGGGTGTTATGCCTCCAAATTCTACTTTTGAAATCTAAAAAAAAAAGAAATAGGTAAAGAAAGGAAACTTGACTACCCAGTCGACAGATGCGAGAGTCTAAACAAAAAAAGGGAAACTCAACCCAAGTCTTGCTTGTCAAACCCTATATGAGGAGAATGCCATTAACAGGCAATATGTAGGAAATCGTTTTGCAAGAAACTCAACCCAGGAACAAGGGTGGAAATCGTTTTGCAAGAAACAGTGTTTCTTCTTCACTGTTTCATTTCTTCTTCTTTGGATGCCATTAACAAGAGATTTGCATACTTCTCTTTCTTCTTCTTAAAATTACGGCCAAAGGTAGAATCCATTTACAAGTAATTGTTTGATTTCATCAGCGTTTCTTCTTCTTCTTCCTGACCCTGCTTTATTCTGCAACATCAAATTGTGGTTAAAACAATTCAAACTTTGTAATAGTGGTTTAATGTGGTTAAAGCAAATATGTCTAAAAAATCAGTGTATAAAAAGGAGTGAGATGTATTCACCAAAAAAAAAAGGAGTGGGATGTCACTATTTTGGTGGGACCCCAAAACTGAAGAGTTACCTGTGATTCATCACTGTGTACTGTTAACCAACACGCGACTTGTAGCCTTCGACTGAAAGGTAAAAGAAAATATAAGCTATCTTTGTAAAACAATTTCCTACGTATTGCTTGTTAATGACGTCTCCTCATCTAGGGTTTGGCAAGCAAGATTTGGGTTGAGTTTCCCTTTTTTGTTCAGACTCTCCCATCTGTGGTCTGGGTAGTCAAGTTTCCTTTTTTTTATTACCATTTTCTTTTTTTAGACTGCTAAAAGTGAATTTGGAGGCATAATGCTCCAAACCTTCTGTTAAACTTGATCCACACATGTGAGAAGGGGAGGCATGTGAGGTGTGACTTGGTTGAATTTTATTGGAAGTGTACCATGTCCCACACCAAAGAGAGTGCAGGAAATCTGGGTTCTGCAGTTTGCTCTTCACAGAATAATTTATCAATATGTAGGAATTCTATTCTTTACATACATGCCAAGCGGCAAGCTTGTTTGTGTTCAGTTAGTCCCTGGTTGGTTTCTGTTTTTATGTTTTATGCATAGTGGTCCTTTTTTTTTTGATAAGTAACATAGTGGTCCTTTTATGTAATGTAAAGTTGCTGATATGGCAGATCACAAAGGATATATCATCATCATTATCATCTAAGCCTTTGTCCCAACTATATGTAGTCAGCTAACAAAGGTTATATATGAGACAGAAGAGTAGGGGCATAATGATTCTTTTATGTAATGTTAAGTTGCTGATATATACATGAGACAGAAGGGCTCATGCTTGTTATTTCTCTCCTACATTTGCCTCTTCATTTTTTTCCTCCACTGTTTTCTCCTATTTTCTTCTCATATTCTGTTCTTAATTCTTCTAAAATAAACTGGGGAATTAAGGATTTTTTTTGGCTCTAGAAAACTTTTTTTTTTTTTTTTTTTTTTGTAAAAGGTAAGGTAAATTTATTAATAGAAATCAGAACCATACAAAGGCCTCCCAGAAGGGAGCAAAGACTGAGAACAGCCTCTCAGTTTACATTACAATTCAAATATACTAACAGAACTTAACTGAGACCCCAAAACCCTAGGCTGTATGCCTTTTACACCTGCAGTCCAGGATACAAGCTTTCCCACTGCAAGACAGTCCGCCTTCTTTTTCTTATTCTGAAAGATTCTTCTGTTTCTCTCTAGCCAGCTTAGAAAGGCCTAACAAATCCCAACTCCTTAGCAGATCTGAAACCTGATTTGGCATGACCCAGGAAATACCTTCCGATGAGAGAAAATGGTTCCAAATTCCAGCCGCAAAAGGACAATGGATGAAGAGATGATTGTTGTCCTCCTCTGCTTGCCCACACAGCTCGCACATCATGTTTTGGATCAGAATTCCTCTTTTTGTCAAATTCTGTTTAGTTAGATTTTTGTCCAATACCACCACCCACAGCAGTGCATTCACTTTGAGAGGAGGAATCTAAGTCCAGATTTTATTAGCAGGAAAGTTATCCAGACCTTCACTAGCTAGTCTTTTGGCTAAAGAGCTTATAGTGAATAATCCATCAGCATTCCACTTCCAAATCCAAGCATCTTCTTCCAATGGGTTCAGAACTTGACTAGAGAGCAAGTTCAACAGGTTCACCACTTGTTCCACTTCCCAATCTTGGAAAGGTCTTCTGAACTTAGGGCTCCATACAATACTATTCCCCATCAACTCACAACAATCATAACCTCCTGATTCTCTGCAAGTTGAAACAAGTGAGGGAACAGCTATTCAAGGGCCCTATTGTTACACCAATTGTCTTTCCAAAATTTAAAGCGAAGACCTGAGTCCAACTTAAGGGACAAACCACTTTGAACCAGAGGGTAGATTTCCATAATTTTCTTCCAAAGAGAGCAACCCAAGGAAGGAAGGATCAAGGTTGTTGTCCAATCTCCTCCATCTGTTTTATACTTGTCTGCCATTAAAGACCTCCACCAGCTAGTTCTTTCTGTAGCAAATCTCCAGATCCATTTACCCATAAGAGCTTTGTTAAAAGTCTTCAGATTTCTCACCCCTAAGCCACCTCTTTCTTTCGGAGTACACATTTGTTTCCAACTGACTAAGTGTATTTTGTTTTCCTCCTCCCAGCCCTTCCAATGGAAATTTCTTTGTAGCCTTTCTATTTTGATCGCCACTTTGGTAGGGATAGGGAAGAGAGAGGAAATAGGAGGGGAGGTTAGATAGAGAACTCTTTAGAAGAGTGATTCTACCCCCTCCTCCCAAAGAGAGATATTTGGCTTTCCAGGATGCCAATTTCCTTTCCGATCTTTCCACCACCGGATCCCAAATTAGAGAAGAAGAGTATTTGACCCCCAAGGGGAGCCCTAAATACATTGTTGGAAGGTACCCGATCTGACAAGCTAGCACTTCAAGATTCTCAACCTTCCCCACAGGGATTATTCTACTCTTGGCCCAGTTAACCTTTAAACCTGTTACCACTTCAAACCAACTTAACACCCCAAGCATGATTTCCAGTTGACCTAGATCTGCATCAATAAAACACGTGTCATCTGCAAACTGGAGTAACTGCACTTTTTCCCCACCTGGAACTGATTCAAACCCTTTCCATAAGCCTTCTTCGCTAACTCGATGAACAAAGAGGGACAACACCTCCATTATAGAAATTAATTTATTAAAATTATAAGAAAGCGTAACAACAAGAAGTTGTGAAAGAAACAAGTAGGCACAAGATGTCTAAACCCCTCAAAGTATTATTACAACTGAGGTTACTGAGCTCCAAATATAGTCTGTCTCTGAACCCATTGCTTAGCTAGACCATCTGCCAAACTGTTGGCAGATCTTCTAACCCAATTAACTTGAATAGACATGTCCCTAGAGAGCCATTTTGAACCACCTGAGATCATTCCTTAGGTGCCAAGACACTCCTTCCCCCTTCTTTAACCAGTCCACAACTATTTTGGAGTTGCCTTCAATAATTAACCTTTCAAAACCCAACTCTTTGGTTTTCTCAACTCCAAAAACAGCTGCCAAGAATTCTGCTGTAGTCACATCACCTTGCTCAATTGGACCTGAGAAGAAAGCATGTATATTTCCTTCCTCATCCCTGATTACCCCTCCGATTCCAAAGGGGCCTGGATTTGCCTACACAACTCCCATCAAAATTCAGTTTCAACCAGCCAATAGATGGAGGTGACCAGTCCACTGTTACTATCTGTCTTCTAGAAGATGAGTCATCTATAGCCCCCCAAGACCTGAAAAAATCATCAACCTTAAAGTCTGAGAAAAGATTCAAGGTCTTGACTCAATGTGCCACTCTTAGGGTTATGACCTCTGTCAAAGCTTCCTTAGTTCTCTCTTCTCTCCAAATATTCTTGAGTTTCTTTCTTCCCAAACTGTCTATATGACAACAGCTGCCCTAGTACATCTCCAAGCGATCAAGAGGGAGCCAATTGCAACCAAAAAGTGAAGCAAACCAATCCCAAATAAAGCCAACAAAGGGACAAGAGATTAAGAGATGAAACATAGTCTCACCATTTAACTTGCATAAGCAGCACCAGTTGGGGGACAAGTACCAGTTTGGCCTCTTCCTTTGAACCTTATCACAAGTTTTAATGCAGCCATGAAACTCTTCCCAGTAGAAAGCACCAACTCTAGGAGGAATGGGGGAGCACCGTATTTCCTTAACAAGGAAAGAAGAAGAAGGGGGAAGGTGAGGAAGCTATAAGAGAGGTAAACAAAGACTTACAAGTGAAGAGCAATGTTCAGTTTAAGGAGCTAAGTTTTCTCAGGTCTTGATGGCGATTCTGGTCATTCTGACAGAGTGAGGTATTTTCTCTTGATTAAGCTGACATTATGCCTCATCTTTTAACTATGTAAGCTCATTTTCACAGGAATACTAAATCTAGAAAGTATCAGAGGGACTTTGTGTCATGGAATGTGGGGAATTGACAAGACAAGGCTAAGTTGTTAGAAATTTAGAATTTCCCAATTCACTAGTCAAGCCTTGTTCTTGGTCTGTTTCCTTTCACGTGTGCATATATTATATATTATACACAAAGGTGAGTCATGGCATTTGCCCTTAGGCCTTCTGTTGTAAATATCTTTATCTTCTAATCTAATCCGAGATTTTCATAAAATGACTTGGTTATTATGACATACTTAAAACGTCATGTAAAATTTTCTTTTAAAATGCTGATGTTTGTAGTTTATCGTTAATAATGCAGTATGTCATTCATATTTTACAAGAGCTTGTGCTAAAGTAGCATTTTTTTTTTTTTTGTTAACTTGCTCTAAAAAAGAAACAAATGTATCTTTACTGACTCAAGAAGAGTTTTCCCTGATGAATAAACTTGTTTCCCCTGGAATACTCCTAAAGGGCTAGGGGGCCATAGCCCATTGCTGGTCTTGGCTAGTTGGGGCCTCGGAAGGGGTAGACTGGATATTTAAGCTAATATCTGGCATATTTTTTCACAAAGTTGTGCTCTCAGAACTTAATCTGCATTCTCTCGCTTGTCAATTCGTGCTTATGATATTAATCCATGTCTTTCGTGCACAATTCATTCCAACATGCATATAATAAGTTGCCCATGTTGACAGAGGATGAGGAACTTGTAACAAATGCACTTGAGACAATTGTGAATTTAGCGCCATTGCTGGACCTCCGAATTTTCAGCTCCTCCAAGCCGTCCTATATCAAAATAACGTAATACTTTATTTCATTCCGTTTTTTAAACTTTTGCTACATGATTTCTAAGTTGAAAGTTTTCATCATTTCTTTGACCAACCAGTGAGAAAAGTGCAGTTCAAGCCATCATGGGGATGCTGGGATCCTCCATCAAAGCCTGGCATTGTGCTGCTGCTGAATTGCTTGGCCGCTTGATAATAAATCCTGATAATGAACCATTCCTTCTTCCTTTTGCTCCTCAGGTTTGGATTATATAATCCCTTGTTATGTATTAGAGAGCTGAGGCTTATTTATGTTTTCTTTCCACCTTTATCTTCTTCACATTATGACCTTTGTATACTCTTGTAAGAAGTTTAATGCCCTAATATGTTTCATAATTAGTAATTTATTTATCAAAAAAATTTTCGTAATTCCCAAATTGGCTCTGCAGATATATAAGCGCTTAATTGATCTAGTAAGCTTACCAGCGGTAGATGCACAAGCTGCAGCTGTTGGAGCTCTTTATAATCTTTCAGAAGTCAACATGGACTGCAGGCTGAAGCTTGCGAGTGAGAGATGGTGCTTCCTAGTACCCTGAATCATAACTAGCATAGAGATCCAAAATCTGTCTGAAAGGCTCCATCTTGCTGAAATTTGTTTTTGTTCTAATGCAGGGCTGTTGATAGGCTATTGAAAGTGATTAAGACGCCACACCCTGTCCCAGAAGTCTGCCGCAAAGCAGCAATGATACTGGAGAGCCTTGTTTCAGAACCACAGAACAGGGCCCATCTCCTAGCTTATGAGAATGCCTTTGCAGAGATTCTATTCTCGGATGGTAGATATTCTGACACCTTTGCCAGGATACTATATGAGTTGACTTCACGGCCTAACAACAAAGTGGCCATGGCCCGTGGTGCTTGGGGCATGTAGTCAAAACCCAGCCTGGTCAGTGCCATCTAGTAGCTTTTCTCATTCTGGAGACACTCAGCTAATAGTCATGTCTTGATATTTGTTATGGGTAGTGTGAACATACTTAGATCTTGGTTAGTCAGTTAAGCACTACCCATGATAATTACCATACGTTATAAAAGGAGGTCCTCACCCTGATAAATTGCTAGTTGCCCATTTTCACGAGTTTACACTTGTCATATTGTTACTCTATGTTGTTGTATATATAGAACTGTTTCTTCTGTCAGTTATACCTGATCATATCAGTTTGCAGGAGTGGGCAGTTCGAAGCCTATAGAAGCATTCTATTCCTATAATGACTATAGGCACAGGAAGTTTCAGTTAAGGTCCTGTCTATTTTTCCGAGTTTGAATTCTCAAAATAAGATCCATTTTAAAGTTTATCTGTGATCTCTTTAGTCCATCTAGAGAAGGCATGAGAGATCTGATCATCAGATGAAATAGGTGATTCAATGTTTAACTTATCCTCATGGCCAGTTCTGTTCCAGTGCATTCCTTCCATATTATAAACCCTTCAACTACATTTGGTTATAGTATCCTGATTGGTAGTCATAATAAAGAAATAGTATAGGGACTGTAATTTATCTCAAGAGAAGGGTTCGAGGGAATATAAATCATGAGTGAGTTGCTTCATATTTTAATCTTATATGGCATTCGTTTGTGCATGATTCATTTCTAGGTGTGGTATTAATTGTAACAAAGGAGATGTTGAAGGGGATGTTGCGCAGTGAATTATACTAGGATGGGCGAAGTGGAGAATTGTATCTAGGGCTGCAAGTCAGGCCGGGTTAGGTGGGGTTGAGGCCAACCCTAGCCCAACCCTAACTTCTAAACCCCCAACCCTAACCCTAATCTAACCGGACCTTCAATATGACCTATCCAACCCTAACCCTAACCCTAACCCTAACCCTAACCCTAACCCTAACTAAATTCCTTCAACCCTAACCCAACCCAATCCAAAGTCATCTTCAGGTTGGGCCCAACCCAACCTTCTTCCCATCCCTTGAAATTTTGTAGAACTTAATCTTAGATCTTAGCTCAACTTCCATTACATATATTTATTTTATATTTTATTAGTATTTATTTGATGTTTTTATCATGGTTTTCAATCCGTCGTTGACCCAGACAGTTGGACCATTCGGCTCGGGAACCATCTAGGCAACCGGTTCCGTTTTACCCCAAACCCAGTCCTTGGCCAAAGATCGTTGAATCGATCAACGACCTGTTGACTTAGGCGGTCGAACCGTCGACCTGTTCAATGGCTTTTGGCCATTTTAAATTTTATTTTTATTTTTTAATTTATTTTGTCAGAATGGGTTGTCTATTTGGACCAAACGGTCGAAACATTGACCCAGAAACCGGTGGCCAGAACGGTTTCGATTCTGAGTTGTTTTAAAACATTGGTTTTTATTGGTTCTTTAAGTACAAAATAAAAAAAAGAAAGTGTTTGAAATGACTATAGTTTATTATGATGACTTATATTAGATCTTTTATGGGCAACAAGCTATGGGTGGCAAACAACAAAGAGGCAAGGTTTTAAAAACTAACTCGAAATGGAACCGTTTTAGCTATCAGTTTTTGGGTCAGTGATTCAACCGTCCGAGTTGAACGGTTTGGGCGGTTTGCATTAGGGCAGGATAACAAATAGTATATGAGAAACAAAGAAAGGAGGAGTGGAGAAGATAGCCTTTTGTTGGTTGAGAAAGAAGAGAAGGAAAGGAAGGAAAGAAAGAGGGAAGGATGGAAGAAGAAGGAAGAGGAGGAGAATGGATTTGACGCTCATCGATGACGGTGACGACGGTAACAGAGTAGATGATAGATTTCAGATTTGAGATACGAGTTATCGCATCTCAGATCTGAGATTGTTTTTTCGTTTTTTCTCAGATCTGGATCTGAGATATGAGAAAACTACAACTTTCTTCTTCTTCTTCTTCTTCTTCTTCTTCTCTCTCTCTCAGTCTCTCTAGATATTAGATCTGAGTTTGTGTCTCAGACTCAGTTTCTCCCTCTCTGTAATTTCTCAAATCGTGAACCGCTGTCAGGGTCAAACGAATCGACGGTTTGACCGCCTGGGGCAGCGATTTTCTGACGAAGTTAACGGTTTTTGACCCAAGAGCGGGTCAGGGGTGAAACGGAATCGGTTGCTTGGATGGTTTCTGGGCCGAATGGTCCTACGTTCGGGTCAACGATGGTTCAAAAACATTGCAAAGAGGAGATAATTAATAAAATATTCAAAAAACATAAAATATGTTATCAAGGTTTTAGTATTTCCAAATAGGATTAAGTGAAGTGATTATCTTAAATGAAATAAATGATAGTATGTGGTGGTCGCTATACAACTATCATGCATCTAAATAAATCAATGTATGATATAATCATCTAAATAAATATATGATATAATTATATATATATATAGAGTTGGGTTCGGGTTGCTTGATGAGTTAACCCTAACCCAACCCGAAATAAAGTCGGGTTTATAAAGTTCAACCCTAACCCTAACCCAAGCATCAACCCGATCTGACCAACCCGACTTTTTCGGATTGGGTTAGGTTTGGGTTCGGGCTAACCCAGCCCAAGCTGCAGCCTTAATTGTATCCAAAGTCTTGTGTGATTGGAAGATATCACTCAATCTAAAAGAAAATTTTAATAAAATTGGCGAAGCTAACAATTTTATATGTAGTAGAATGGAGAAATGGCCAAAAATGAGTGTAGCATGATAGATATGAATGCCCAGATGGATGTGCAGGAAACTAAAAATAAAAAAGAAACAGAAATAAGCATGCCCATAGGATTGTAGGATCAGCCCTTATATAGGTGATAAAATGGGGGAAGTTGTAAAATGTTAGAGGGTGTAAAGGACGTAGGGGCAAGACAAAACGGACATAGGTTGAACCGTTGAAGTTGTGAGAAATGATGAGTGCCTAGAATGCACTAAATAGAGTGGAATGGCAGAATAGGATTTATGTAGCTGACCACAAATAATCGGGACAAGGTTATGTTAATTTTGAGTTCATGGTCGGCTCTCATCCTAAATAATCGGGACAAGGTTATGCCTATATTGCCTTAAAAAAATATGCCCTATTTAATATAGACTTCAGTCTTTAGTCGTGTTCTTTAATTTTGCGTGTAATTTTGTCCTCGTGAGAAATGGTGTGTGAATTCTAATTGTATATGTCCTTTTTCTCATTTTCAGTTTCTTGAGTTTTATCTTCATCCTTCCACATCTATCTTACAGACCTACATACAGATCTATTGAAAGCTCTCTCATTATAAGTCAAAAGTTTAAATGATACACCGTTCCTTTCTAGAAAGAAAACGAAAGGAGAAAAGTTTTCATTTTCAACTTCTACCTAAGAAGAAAAACAAACAAATCTAATCCTGAACTGATACTCTACTGACTTCTTTTCAATCTAGACACAAATAGGAAACTGAATCCATAAGTCTGGCAGGGATAACTCCTTTGATGATGCAATCAAACTCGAACTCGAACACTCGGGGCAAATGTCTTTGACTTATCTAAATGAGTATTTGGGAGTGAAGCTAGCAGCTAGAGGGGTGGATGATGGCAGCTAATAAAGGAGAAGAAATGTTATTAACAAGCGTGGCTTTACTATTTATGCTCATTGTGACCGAGGGAGGAGAAATGTTATTAACAAGCGTGGCTTTACTATTTATGCTCTTGGATTTAGAGTTAACTATCGTGTTGTCCTGCAAGGCTGTAAGAGTGAATTCATTGATCAATTAAATTGCGGAATCACATAGTTCATCCATGACCAGGGGGAATGTCTTGGTTTTCTTCCTCATAATCCTCATAATGTCATAATGTATGGTCAAGATTGGGATTAGGGTAATAGAGTAACGGATTGTCTGGTAGAAATATAGAATCTTGTAAAATCTAAAGAATCTGAAAGCAGCAATGATTTTGAGGTTTTTTAGAGCTCATTAAGAAAGCTTCTTATGGTTCTCCTTGAAACTTTTGAAGCTCGCTGTACTTGTTAGCTCATTTATGTGATTTTGGGAGCTTACAAAGGAAGAATTTGAAGATCGTCTGAAAACTTGTAAAGTCGAGTTCGTTTGATCCATGCACAATTTGGCAGAGCTAAATTGTTTGATCTCGTGAGGCTTTTTGGGAATGATTTTTTTTTTTCAAGTCTGTGACATAATTTCAGAATGGAATTTCTTTGCTATTTATTCTGGTCTTTTTTAGGACCAACTTTGTCTGGACTCTGGAGAGGAAATCTTTTTTTTTTTTACCCTTTCCCTTTGAGAGTTATTACCTAAAACTCTCCTTCGCTTTTCCCTATTTCTCTTACACATACTGAGTTTAGATAATGCTCCCAACAAGCTTTCCAACAAGCCTCTTAATAAGCAACTACAGCCACACACTAGTAACATCTTGCTTGTCATTCATGGGGAGATGTCCCTCAATGTGTGGCTGTAGTGTCTTGTTGGGAGCAAATCTAATTTCAAACATACCCTGACTTTTTCAAAACCTCCAGAGACCTTCTATTAGAGCTCTGCCATTAAGAGATCAATGGTTTTTGCAAATTTCCTATGTTACCACTCTGGGTTAGGTTTATGGTCGACGTAAACCCGAAGATTTGGTCCTAAGGCCTAAGGTCAGATTGAACCCGAGGTCAAATCCAATCTTTCCTATCTGAGCCCAGCCCACATTGTAATTTGATGAATTTGGGTTGGGTTTGGGCCTGGACCGGGCTTGGATTGGTCAATGAATCCACTTTAAGATTATATATGTATGTATTTATGCAAATATATATGTATGTATGTATGCATGAAAATATAAATGTATATATGTAAGTATGTATACAAATATGAATGTGTATAGCTGGGCAGGTTGGGTTGGGACAAGGTCGAGCTACCTTAGGGCTAGGCTTGAGCCCATCCAAAAAAAAAAAAAAAAAACTTGAATTCTTGAACTCAAGACCAGCCTGAGGAATGAAAATCCAAACCCAACCCATGTAAAATTACGGACTAGGCCGGTTCAGGCTTGGGCTATGCCTGTCCAAGTTGCACCCCCTACCCCTCCGTTTAAATTTGTAATAAATGAAAGCACCCAAAATGCCCTTTTTTGCTTGCCCTGTTTGCCCTAATCCAGTCTACACTTTCACTTGGCCTCTTGTTTCAAAGGTAGATGGTGCCAATTGTGTAGAAATCAGGAGCATTCTCCTGTCATTAATTCTGCCATCAACTTACTGAAGTCCTGTGTTGCTTTCAGTTCCAACACCCCCTTATAACTCTGTCTTATGGCCAAATGGCTTAGCTCTTCAATTGCTCTTTGCTTACTCAACGTGGTCGGTATCTTGTCATTAAACCGGAGTCCCTTTGGACTAGAGTCATGAAAGGTGTATACTTTCTCAGGGGA